AGCAGTGTGGCTTTACCTCTGGTGAACATCAGCTGCCTAATGTGCACTTGACATCTGCCTCAAATTCCTGTATGCAGAGGCCACATAAGTCACTGTCACCACTATTCCACAGGGCCTAGGCTAGTGGCCAGCACTGGAAGTCACCCAGTTACTTGGGAGAATTAATCTCCTAGTCACCTACTATTCCCACAGCCCATGTCCTTTGGTGCCAGTAGACAGCGGCATCTAGTGAAACAACTCTAGAACTGCACCCTGACCAAACAAGGCTCTCCACTCCCGCTGTGCGTCCTTTCTATACACACACACCATCAGGCAAGCATTTATTAGCTGCGTTCTGTATACAGAGCCCTGATCTGAATAAATGAAGGAAGAGATGAAAGATAACCACACAGGAAAGTGAGGAAAACTATCACAAATAATCATAACTTTGTCATTAATGCCCAGTTGTTTTATTTAAAAAAAAAATTGTGTGTGTATGTCTGTGTGTGTCTGTGTGTAGAAGTGAGAGAACAACTTTCAGGAGTTGGTTTCTCATTCCACTATGTGAGATTGAACTCAGGTCCTCAGGACTGATGGCAACTGCCTTTACCCACTGAGCCATCTCACTGGCCCAGCCCCAGCTCGCTATCTTAAAACAACTGCAAACACTCTGTAGGGAACTGGGTAAGCTGCACAGTGTCTTCCCCAGAAGTTTTTGCAACAGCAGGAGTGATTCTGAAATGGTACTACATGTCACTGACCCTCAGTTAGGGTCAAGACCATGAACTGAAAGCTTTGGTCAGAGGTTTTAGGTGGTGATGCTGAGGCCCAGACAGGGTAATCCAGTCAGCTGGAGTTGCTCAGCATGTCTATGAAAAGCCCATGCCCTAAGGAGGGGGTCATGTCTCCCTCTTCTCAGGCCACTACAGGCATCCACTATACTGAGGAACACCTAGCCTAACCCAGGTTCTCTACAGGGAAAGGGAGGGGCATCTGTTATCAAAGCCCTATTCTCCTCCATCCCTGCACTGAACTCTCCCATGAAACAAATGACTGAGAAGCCCAGGACCAGTGAGACACTCTGAGTAAAGCACTTGCTATGCAAGCATGAGGACCTGAGGACTTGGAACCTACATAAAGGAGGAAGGAGAGAACCAACCCCACAAAGTTGTTCTCTGATCTGCACACAGGCAGACAGAGAGAGAGAGAGAGAGAGAGAGAGAGAGAGAGAGAGAGAGAGAGTGTAAAATAATCTTTTATAAAGAGTCTAAAGTCAGGGCTACACACCTTGAATCCTAACACTCAAGAAACAGAAGCAGATGGAGCTCTGTGAGACTGGTACCAGCCTGATCTTCACAGCAAGTTCCAGTACGCTGAGGCTACAGGGAAACCCTGTCTCAAAAAAGGCAAAAAAGAGAGAGGGAGGGAGAGGGTCTAAGGCCAAGTGTAATGACACATACCTTTAATCCCAGCCTTCAAGAAACAGAGGCATGCCGAGTGTGATGGCGCACACCTTTCATCACAGTATTTGGGAAGTAGAGGCAGGTGGATCTCTGAGTTCAAGGCCAGCCTGGTCTACATAGTGAGTTCCAGGCCAGCTGGGGCTACAGGGAGACCTTGTCTCAAAAAGCCCAAAAAAAAAAAAAAAAACAAAGAAAAGAAACAGAGGCAGGGGGATATATGTGAGTTCAAGTTCAGCCTGATCCACATAGCGAGTTCTAAGTCAATGAGAAAGATGAGAGAGAAAGAGAACATGTGGTATAGATCATATTTAACCGGGAAATTGAAGGTTCCATGGAAAAG